CGGGCCAGATGACACACTGGCATGAGTTCTTGTATTTGAACTTTGTGTTGCAGGAGTAATGAGAGATTGCACATTGTCTAGATGGAAAACTTACGCTGCGGCTCTTCAGGAGATATAATTCTGAATAAAGTATAAAGGCTAGCACTTGAAAGAAACATCTTCTATTTAATAGGAGCTTTGCTATATCTACATAAAAAGTCTTACGGAACTTATGTAGAAACTTATGTGGCCTGATTTGGTTGGAAGTAAAAATGGCCCAGGCCCACCCCCGTGAAAATCAGAGGGGCTGATTAGTTTAGAGGAAGGAAGGTTACGTAACATTAAGTAAGAGCCTACGTAGGTGTACCATTTTTTTATTTAATAGTCTCTCAGGCCCCCGCTTCGCTCCGCTCGGGGCGACGCGGGCGGTGACCCAACCCTAGCTATCGAACCCCCTCCCCCTCCCTTCCACACCTCACTGCCGCCAGAGGGGTTGCCGGCGAAGGCCGCGCGACTGCCAAGGAAGGCGGTGGCGAGGCCTTGCTGCTTCGTCTTCTCGCGGAGGGCTTCGGAAGCCGAGGCGGCGGCCTCGGGTGGTGCGGCGACGCCGGCTCTGCGGCGAGCGGCGCTCGCGGGTGCTCCTCCTCCCCCTTGGCCGTGCGGGCGGCGAGCGGTGGTGGCGTCGGGCATAGGTCGCAGTGGGTGGCATGGTGCCCCTGGCTGCGAGTCAGATCTAGAGGTCGTCTTCTTCCCCCTTCCTTCGTCTTTTCCCCACCGGATGTGGACCGTGGAGGCCGCTGGTCGCCAGATCCATGGAAGGTGGGGACGCTGGAGGTGCGAGATCAGTCCGAGAGAAATCTTTGGCTGGCTTGCCGGTCAGGACGGCGGCGACGCCTGCTGGCGCCGTTCCCCTTCTCGGAGGCGCCGTCGAGGTTCGATCCCCACTCCCTCCCTTCTCATACCCGGGTGAAAACCTTAGCCAGTTCATGGCTTGGCGGCAGCGACGTGGCTTGCGTCGTCACCTTACTGAAGGTGCCGTCTTGGGCGAGTTGGGGTGTGCACGGGCGTTGCGAGGTGGTTTTCTGGCGAGCAGCGACATGGCAGTTGGAGGTAGCGCCGGGCTGTAAGTGTTTGAAGACCGTCCGTGTGTGTGTGTGTGTGCTTGCCGACGAGTCGACGCCATTGCCATGGCTGGGAGGGGATTGGGGTCTTCTCCCTAGTTAGCAGCAACACGGTGTGGGCGGTCTGGACATGGTACTTAAATTGAGCACGGATCTTATCTCAGCTTCGGGCGCTTATCAACTCCGATATTTGTTCCAACGGCGTCCTCGTCCTTCAGCAGCTTCGTTTCTTTGTGTATGATCCAGTGAGCTGCGGTTGGGCTCTTCTCCTGGTGATCTTTGCTCCGTGGGTTGGTCATGCTATGAATCTCCCAAGGTGCTCCAGAATCTGTACCTTTCCTTGCTCTAGGGTGAGTTGCTCCAATCTCCGACGGTCCGGCACCCTTCGATCCAGGGTGAGGGGCAGGGGTCCCCTTCGAAATTGGAGAAGGAAGGTTCGATGACGGTGGTCTCCTTTTGGAGTAGATGAGGGCGTGTCCATCTTCGCTAGGCGAGATTTCCTCTTGAAGTTCTCTCACTGTCATGCTTCAATGTTTCAGTCACGTCGAAGGGCTCCTTCAACATTAAGCTAGTTTCTCTGTAGAATTTGCGTGTGCTTTCTGTTGTGGTGCTTGTAGGCTGCTTGTAGCACCTTGTATTTGCCGTTTTCAGTTTTTATTTCTGTTTTTCTTTCTCGATGTTTGGGCGGATGTAATTCCTGGCCGGTTGATGGCTTCGTTAATTCAAAGACAGGCTCTGCTTGAGCCTTCGTTCTAAAAAAAATAGCTCTTACATTATTGGACGGACGGAGTAAGATGTAAAGATAAGAATGGGCGTCTGATGCATTTTAGTGTTTGGCAATGCTACATTGCCATATAAGCAAAGTAATATCTTGTACGTATTGTATGACAAGAGAAAATATCGGTAATATATTTCCTCAAAAGGCACTTGACCTTTGTGATCTCCAAGGGTTGATACATGCACAAGGAATTGTTCAGCTACACATGTGTAGCTGTCTATCCTAAATGGAAATGCCAGCTAAAGAAAAGAAACTAAAAAGGATAAGGAACGGATCATCCCAAAGAGAAAAGAAAAAAAAAGGATATGTAGCCAATATGCTAGCTAGTCCCGGAGCACTACAAATAGTACCCTAGACTCAAGTGACTCTCACACAGCTAGCACACAACAAAGGAAAGAGTCAGTTTACGTACACACCTCCTTGCTACGATCTTCCTCCTAGCTACCAGCCAAAACCCTAGCTAGCGATGGCCAGCCCTAGCCTTGTAGTCCTGTCCATGATCTTGATCCTGCATTCCATTCTATTCATGGCATCTGCATCCCTTCCTGTGTTCTTCAGTCCGAGTCCGAGGTTAACATGCGCTTGTACTTGCACCAAATCGCCGCCGGACCAGGCATCAACCAGGTAGCAATTGTTACCTCCAGCAAACCGTCAGAGTTTGGTCTAACTGCCGTTACCGACTGGACTGTAATTGATGGACCAAACCCCGCTAGTGCCACCATTGTTGCCCGTACTAAAGGCATGCAAGTGCAGGCTGATGTAGCCGGTCCAGGATGGTTCAACTACTTCAGCATGGTGTTCGAGAAAAACTCCAGGTCATTCTTACATACTTTTGGACCAGTACAAGTTTTAGTTTTATCACTTCATTATATAGCATACATTCTCAGTTATTGCGAAGGTCTGAAGATTGTCCGGTTTCATATGATACATGATATTATCCTGCCAAACTATGTCAGGTACAATGGATCATCATTCGAAGCGATGGGGATCAATTTTCAAACAGGCCAAGGCCAGATGGCCATTATGGGTGGGACTGGACAGTTTGCTATGGCACGTGGGATCATCAAGTACAACGCGCTCGCTAACCCCCCTACGTTTCAAACTATTAAAGAACTTAATATCCATGCATTCTACGTCAAACCTGCTGTAAGTACATACATTCAACCACATAATCTGTATGTAATCGTTTCTTGTTTATAGCATGTCTATCTAGTTCAGTTGAAAGAAATTTAAACATCATGGTATCGACATGTGGATGTAGTTAAGGTTATGTAACTAATAAGCATGTGAATTTCAAAGCCAGTTCAACAACGCAGCTAGTTTTAGTCATCCGGGTAAACATTATGATTGTTATATTTCCCCGAAAATTTTCCATCAATACCTTAATGACTGGTTTCTTGGCATGTAGCCATGTTGATTATACTTCTTTTTTTGCAGGACACTACATCTGGCGCCGCCATCCAGTAATATGTTCAAAAACCAGGTGAACTGTAGCTACCTATGTATGGGTAGCTTTGAAAGGAACTACACAAGCTTGTCAATGTTTTCCTTTTCAAATAATATGTGGATTTTTAGCCTGGATAATCTATTAATCCAAAAATCCACGTCTGTCTGTTTGTAATTGTTATGGTATATGTTTCGTGTTGTGTATGGGATCATATCATTTCAGTGTGGATCAGATAATAAAGTTTGGTTAGTGCAGTCAATGTGAATATGAAGAATCATACTGGAAAATACACAGGATCACCTGGGTCCTCCACCCGCCTATACGAAAATTAAATTCAAAAAATACCAGGAAAATTAAAAGAAGAATCCAAAATCTTGGGTCATTACTTATTGCAAACTTCAGATGAGCTACATTGACAAACTATAGTATGTCCGCAATTGGCGCAATTACTCAGTTAAACACAAGAGAACAAATGGATGGCATGTGCATCAGATAAACATGCTCTGATTAGCAACTCAATTTTGTTATTGCGATATATGTTCTCTCACATGCCAGCATGTGATAATTCCGCGCAAAACAGTTGGCCCGGACGTGTTGGATATTCCACCGAAAGGTTTATGTTTATGTTTAATTCAAGAAAAACGGCAACATATTATGGAAAAAGTAGGACCATTTGTCAGTGATACATAAATTCATGGGATATTGAAACCTCGTAGATATTATGGAAAAAGGTTTATGTTATTCCTTGGATCACTATTTTTTGCCCGAAGGAGGTTCTGCACTGAAAAAATTGTTATTATTTTGTGCCATCATACAAGTAAATACCGACGATCTGGTAATGGAGGGATAGATAGTTATAGGTCCAAGAGAGGGGAAGGAGACGCGCGCAAGACTTATATACATTCTTGCTTCCTGTGAAATACAATTCTGCACTAGCTTCACTAGGAAACAACATAAGCTTGTTAATTAGTCCTAAGTCAACCACTTGAGATGTTGGCGGATGCTCTAATCCATGTACTTTGTTTATTTATTTCCCCTTCATGATGCAGCTCTTCGGTAGATTATTCACTGGTGTCCTAGTTGCATGTAGTATCATCTGTTCTGGATTGGATCGAAACATATGACAAAAATAAAATATCCATCATCGATCCCGACTAGGTGGTCTGACCATAACTGCACTAGTATTTTACACAAGCCCAATTTAATGTTGCTTGGGGCAGCCTAAAAGCAACATTTCGGTCAACTGCTTAATGTCTTCAGTTTCTTAAACCTGATCGTAACTATTAACTCACTTGCATTTCTTTTCTCCGAAAAGGGGATTAAACTCCAGGCCTCTGCACTAGTGTGATGCACGGGGCCATTAGTTTTTTGAAAAAGTTAACTAACTTGCATGAGCTGGCATGGCATATGCACATGCATGTTTTTTCCAGAACTGATAATCTGCACAGTGTCGCATAGTCATAACAGACAGCTTTCGAGAAAGAAACTAGAATGCATGTATATGGCTTACAGCACAAAACAACCACTGCCCTTCACTTATTCGCAGAAAACAACCGGCATTCAGCAGTGAATTTTCAAATTGCATGGATAGGCCCATAGGTAGCATTCGATGCCGAAATTGATCGGTGGGAGGCGGCTGTCAGCCTAACGTGGCATAAAATTAAAACAACATTTGAGAAGTAGTTAAGGTGGACACAGGGCCCACTCATCAGCGTCTCTCCCTTTAAAATTTTATTTTCTTATCTTTTTCAACCATTTAATTTATTTTGCAATTTTTCATGTGCGTTTATCTTATAAATTAGTTAGGAAATAATATATTTTTTCTTCAGTCATGTACAAAATTTTGTCTAGATATCAATTTGTATGGTTTGCATAGATAATAATAATATTTAACAAAGTGGACTAGAGAACATTTTGAACTAGAGATGTGATTGTTTCTCTTTAAATACATGGATATTTTTCATCTATTCTCTATCTATCTAAACAATATTTAGCGGTTGTTGGGAAATTTCATTTGAGTGAATGAGCATTTTAGTAAGAAGAAATTTGTCAGACCAAGGTTACAAGCGCCCACCCATGTCACCACTGACCGGCATTGCGGCGACAACACTGACTCGACGCATTGAGGAAGATGGAAAAGTCCATGGAGCCACCCACACACGGTCATCGGATTTCTCCTTTGACATCTTGATTTCAACTCAGGATGGCCCCTGACTAGTTGGATATATCCCCACGAGAACAAAGGAGCCCTTCCCGGTGCTTCATTTCCTCCCTCTCCGAACCAACAATGGTGTGGAGTCCTGGACCTCTATGAAAACAGCGATACAAGAGAAATGCAGATCGTTCAACTCGGGTAATTATGTGGAAACTAGGAAAAGCCTGGATCTTCACTGTGGAAAGTACTTAGAAATTAGCTTCAGCAACCAACATATATATTTTTACCTTCAGCGGCACTGCTGCAGCATGTTTTTTGTGGGATATTACATCTGCACCTGTTGTCATTGGTATAATCTACTACTACAGCCTTTTTTTCGACAAAGGGTGGATTTTATTGACTCAAATGTATCATCAAGAGAATACAAACATAATGAGCACATCTACTACTACAGCCTGCTGAAGTACATCTGAGAATGGTCGATCAAAAAGCCAAATTTGGATTGCATCGTCATATGGAACCTTGTACAAAGTTGTTAGGCACAAATCATCAGGTTGGGTAGGAATAAACATGACCTTGAGCGGAAATTTAGTGCAAGTTAGTCAGACCATTCTAGCGGACCCACTACCTCACGCAGATGCTCTCTGTATCTTGTAATCTCTGTGTAACTGCCAGTACCCCTCTCTTCACATTTGCTGTATGATCCCGGTCTGAGGACTGCATCTTTTGGAAAATATACATATATTCAAGTGGGGGAATCGCCCCGCGGTTGACATTTCAAAAACAAGAAGTTGTTTAGAACTGCTGCTGACCCCTGCCTATCAACCACGTCCACCCAAAGGACCAGGACCCAAATCCAGACCAGGTCATCAGGGATGCAGCTAGCAGTAGCAGAGCTGCCATCGAGGAAGCCTAGTATCCAAAAAATTCACAGGATCCTTCCGCAAGGTTCCAAACTGCAGAGTGCAGACAGTTTCTCATCAAAATGAAGCTTTAGGGCCTCTTGCGGAAGAATAATTCAACATGTCGCATACACCTGCCCAGCAACCAGCACTGCCGAGGTACCATCAGTACTGAAACAGATAAATCACAGTTTCAAATAGTAATATATTGAAACAGCTCATGGCATTTATCAAATCTATATCAGGAAAGCAAGACTACATGGCATGGCACCAAAAAACACTCTGGAGTCCCAGGTGACCACATAACTAGTCTTTCTTTAGTTTCTTCCTCACCTGTATCATCCAAATTCAACAAGTGAATCAAAGCTGGTCATTGTCCATTGACATTTACCAAAGTGAATCAAAAACAGTATCATCCAAATCCAACAAGTGTCAGTCTGAACACGAACTGACTGACATGAACAACACACCTGCTGCTCCTGCTGCTTAACCACAAGTGTCCTTCAGATTGTTTCACTGCCTCTGACGATAACCTCTCCTATGGGATGCATATAATGTGAGATTTCAGTTTAGATTCAATAGGGAACAGGCTCGTCATGGGGGCGCCATGAGGGCCTCCCACCTACAAGGAAGCATGGATTTTGCAAGAAATTGTATGCAGCTGTCACTCATATATGTACATCTCAGCTACAGATTTTGTACAGAACAACAGAATGACCTCATACTGTGCCATTATGCAGTATAACATCTACTACTATCTCCGGCAGCCATCAGATCTAGTACTATCTCCACCTAATCTACTTCTCAACGCACTGGAATTTTATACAAGGTTTGTCTGTACTAATTCTCCACTGCTGCCCTACCACGAAGAAGTAGCGATTTCTCCACCAATCCAGCTAGCAATCAGATCAAACACTAGGCAAAGAAATTCCTCTCTGAAACTATATATCCATACAAGTACCATTTACTACAAGATTGAGCACTAACTGGCGGACAGAGATTTGATGAATAGCCTGCTAGTTGCAACTGCAGGACCTCTGACCTGCCCTGCCGGAGGCTCCCCACGATGGATGGCGGACTAGCGTGCCAGCCAATGTAATTGTAGACGAACAAAGTTGCAACGGAGGGCCCATCGCGACACACGGCGACCTCCGTAGCTGGGATCATATGTATTTTCAAATTTGAATTAAATATGTAGTGTCACCATTCCAGATTTTTGGTACACATGAGCAAAAATAAATTTATTTACGGGCCATTCAACACTTCTCAGCTCATCGGATATTGGTTCAGATTTGAGTGCACATATCATTAACATATTTTGAACCAAATTTATAATCATAAAATCCTCTGGTTTTATTCAAACAAGCGGCGGAGATGCCCCATCCTCCTAGCATTGTTTTTCTTTATCATTTAGGATCTCTTCATTCAGCCTTTAATAGATTATAATAACAAAAAACATAAGTATGGCCTAGATAAGATGCTTCAAAATAGCTGGGCACAAACAAGTTGCCATGAAAAGATAGAACTTTTTTTGCGGGGAACAATCTAGACCTTCTCAAAATCCAACAAATAAAATATGCTCGTTGTCCATGATCTAGGAGGGTATCTACGAATAGGTGCTTAAGGTTTGTTCATGAAAAATAATAAAATGTTTGGCAATTTTCCTTTTGGGTAGATAAAGTACCTCGAAATATGTAAATTCATTCTTATACACCTGAACATGCACCATAGTAAACTAAACTATGTAGCCCTCAAAGTATAACGAACATGTTATATTTTTGAATAGGTTATTTGTGTAATGGTCTATACAATTCAAATAAGTATCAATCTCATACCCAAAAGATTTAGTAAAAGGTACCTGGTGGTCCCAATGAAATATTTACATAACATTACAAACTTAGTCCACCAAAAGAATGATCCCATCCAGAAAAATCCTTCTTCACACATAGATCGAACTGATGACAATGTATCTAGAGTTAGGACCGGATATATGCTGGTAACTTGTAAGCAACTACCATCCTTTACATGTAAAGGGAATTCTATGAGTCATGTCATGCTATATACCTATCAGTTCATCTTATCGTCTTAGAGAACAATACAAAGTTAGTTTTATAAAAAAAGCAACCAATTCTAGACGAACCCTCCACATACAAGGCATTAATAATCGAGCATATCTTAACAGCCCACACACGATTGCAACTTAGTCCTACACAAGTTTTGCATTTCTTGTTTATGGTTGACAGCCTATACAAGGTTCCAAACTCGGTTGCAAAAGTGATACTATCCTGATAAGTGTGTGACATGTAAAGTGAATAAGGCGAGTCATATATACCACACATCAGGATTTCTATTCTTTGTGTGTGATCATATGCACAACTAAAAAGCAACTTTGATGATCAATCCAAAAGTACGCTTGTAGCTAGTGCAACCTAACACAATGTACCAAAAAATCATTTCTGATCCATCCAAACATAATTATTAAAGTTGATGCAAAGAAGGAAAGAGGTGGTACCCGGACTACTATAAATAGGCATGAAGTATAAAGATCATCACAAGCACAAGCATCAAAACCAAGCAAAACTAGTTAGCACCAATCCATCATGAAGACCTTCCTCGTCTTTGCCCTCCTCGCCGTTGTGGCAACAAGTGCCATTGCGCAGATGGATACTAGCTGCATCCCTGGTTTGGAGAGACCATGGCAGCAGCAACCATTACCACCACAACAGACATTTCCACAACAACCACCATTTTCACAACAACAACAACAACAACCATTTCCTCAACAACCATCATTTTCACAGCAACAACCACCATTTTCACAGCAACAACCAATTCTACCACAGGGACCACCATTTTCACAGCAAACACAACCTGTTCTACCGCAACAATCACCATTTTCACAGCAACAACAACTAATTTTACCTCCACAACAACAACAACAGCTTCCGCAACAACAAATCTCTATTGTTCAACCATCCATTTTGCAGCAGCTAAACCCATGCAAGGTATTCCTCCAGCAGCAGTGCAGCCCTATGGCAATGCCACAACGTCTTGCTAGGTCGCAAATGTGGCAGCAGAGCAGTTGCCATGTGATGCAGCAACAATGTTGCCAGCAGTTGTCACAAATCCCCGAACAATCCCGCTATGATGCAATCCGTGCCATCACCTACTCCATCATCCTACAAGAACAACAACAGGGTTTTGTCCAAGCTCAGCAGCAACAACCCCAACAGTCAGGTCAAGGTGTCTCCCAATCCCAACAGCAGTCGCAGCAGCAGCTCGGACAATGTTCTTTCCAACAACCTCAACAGCAACTGGGTCAACAGCCTCAAGAACAACAGGTACAACAGGGTACCTTTTTGCAGCCACACCAGATAGCTCACCTTGAGGTAATGACTTCCATTGCGCTCCGTACCCTGCCAACGATGTGCAGTGTCAATGTGCCATTGTACAGCTCCACCACTAGTGTGCCATTCGGAGTTGGCACCGGAGTTGGTGCTTACTGATAAGAAAAGATGTCTAGTAATATATAGTTGGAACACCGTCATCTAGTCGATGGACATGTCGAGGAAGTGGTGACAAATAAAGTGTCACACAACATCATGTGTGACCCGCCCAAAGTAGTAGTTAAATTCTGGAATAAATACAAATAAAGTGTTCTCTAGACAATGTTCATACCGGCGTTGTGTGGACGACGATCTGACTACCATGCTTGCAAGTTCATAAGTTCGTCTTGCCTGCGGGCAGAAAATAGGATTTGGCTTTGTGGCCA